TTTAATAAGAAAAAATTTAAATTAAGCGGTACAATTTTATATGCTAACAATGAAAGAAAGAAATGTGTGCAAATAAAAATTCACGTAGTTCAGACAAAGCGATATAGATGAATAGTTGAAAGATCGAATTTTTGGCAAGTGATACGACCAAGTCAAGGAGAAATGCTCTAATTATTAATTCAATTGAACGAAACTAATTTCATATGCAAATCATGCTGATGACATGCTAAGCATGACTCCTGTGCAGCTTGGTTTTTTTTTTTTTTTTTTTTGAAGGCGTGATGACGACTTAGAGGATGACTCAAGCGCAACGAGAGGCTTATTTATTATTTCGGATATTACGGCATTGGTGACTTGACTGGATTTGGAATGGGTTAACCAAATAATATTTGTCAGCCACACAGCAGTGAATCATGTTTGAGATCTTGTCAATGCTTTCTATTTGAATGTTTCCTTTCTAAATTAAAAGTTCTTTATGGACATTTCAAAGTTTCTTTTTATCGAGTGAAGCCAAAGTGGCTAATAAAATATAGAAAAGGACACGGCCCGCAGCCTAGTTCACTGGCCCCCAATAAGGCTGCGGGTGTTCCTCGAAAGGCAAACAACAAGGCGAAGCGAACTGGATTATTTATTGGGCGACCCAGAAAGCTCGACGTGGCCAGCGAGGCCCATTGAAAATGCAAAATGGCCTCCAATTAATTAGTAAAAATTATGAAATGGAAAAACTAAAAACTGAATACGAAACTATAACTGAAACGGAAACACGAAATTCATTTGAGTTATGCGCCAGCCAAACGCAGCTGCCCCACTTACCACCTGGCCCCACCCCTCGTCTGCCTTTCAAGTGTCCTTGCAGTCAGTCCGAGGCACTAACCTGCTAGCCCTTTGGCGACCTAAATACCAGGCAAGGCTGGAAGCTTGTATACCCAAAAATGCAAATAGGATTTCAGTAGTAGAAAAGGCATAAGTAATAGCAATGGTATTTGATGCACTTCGAGAAATACGTAGTAGAAAGCTCTAGCACAAATTGACGCACTGACAGAAAATTATGTTACTAATGATGTAAGTTACAATTCACATGATTTTCATTCAGAATTGTCGCTCTAGCTAAAGTTAGCTTGTAATTTCTGAGATTTTCTTTCAGTGTATGCCTTAGCTGCTCCAGTTTCGGGACTGGCCACATCCATGTGGGAGTTGTCCTATTGATTTAATTTCCACTATTCTTAGTGACGCAATGCGCGACGTAGTCGAATCGCGTCGAGTCGAGTTGAATGCGCTGTCCGTCTCGCTGTCGCTGTTGTTGTTGTTCTTGTTGTTGTAGTTGCTGTCGCCGTGGCGTCCCAGCAATAATCCTGAGACGCCTCCAAGGGGTTGTTTTTGTTTGCCACACTGCCACAATGCCACATGGCCCATTGAGCTATGTTTTTGGCTCTAGTTGTCTGCCGGCGCCGCAATGACTGCGCATAATTTTATGGTTTATAGCGAGGAGTATTTCTCAGCTCTTAGCTTTCGATTCCCAGACGACTTGTCATTGCGCCTTAGGCCGCTGTTGCTATTCATATTTTGGGCGGTGGCTAAAGAGACCCTTCGACTGATGCCACAACTGCAGCTGGCTGCCAAACATGACCTAGACACTTTGGTCTAGTTGTCTCTCTAGTGCGATCAGCTCTAACATCATTCTCGAGGTCATTACAATGACATAGAGCAGCGCAGCTAATTAGCATTTAAATTAATTGAATAGTGACTAATGATGAGCCACAATCTGCATCTGTGTTGACACTGACTCAACATCTGTGTGCCAAAGAGTCAGAATGTATATTTAGAGCTGGATTCAAAGTGGGCTTAGAACTTTACTCAACCGTTGCTCAAAGCCCAATGGAAACACAATTTTGCGTAAATTTAAGCCCTTAGTTTATTTTAAATCACAAACTTATAAAAATTAGATTAGTCGGATTAGGACTTGTACTCAAACGCTGCTCAAATTCATATAGGTATAAAAACAATTTATGCAAATTTCAGTCATTAGGACTTTTATTTTATTTATTTTTAAACTATAAAGTTAAATTTTATCAGCTCACCTTAAAGACACCCTGCTTTGCTTTATAGAATGTAGTTGTCTATGATCCAATATTCCATAAATATGAATTCTTATTGCAACTGTATTCTATATATGTATATGTTTTTATCTTCATCAGAAAACAAGTAACAATTTAGCTAGAAATTTGCCAACTCAACTGAGCTAACAATGAGATAATTTTTGTGCGCAACTCTAAAAACAGTGCGAAACTCATTTGAAGGGGATAGGCGAGAAGTGTTTGGGGCAGGAAACATGAAAAATCGTTTGTAGTAACAAGTGCGCTTTGCACTTGAAGTTGTTTAACTTCGGCTCCTCCCTCCGGTCACTATGCCACCATCTCCTGCCCGCAGCCTCTGGCAGCAGACAACAGCTGATAAGACAATTGTCGGTCTTTGTCTTGGGCAACAGTGAGTGGGTGAGTGAGTGAGTGTGGTACATATGATGTATATACAATATCGTGTGTGTCGAACAGGTTCTATGGCATTTTATCTGCAGTTAACGGGTGCCGCTGACCCACTTGCATAATGGTCTTATGTCCAAGAACTTCCTGATTTTGATACAAACATGGTCAATTGTTTTGGATTTGGAGCACCAATCACTTTAAATGCTTATACATAGTATACACTATTTAGTGGTTGGTTT